CAGGTGGTTGAGTATCAGATTGTTCCATCTCATTTCCCTTTGAGGTTGCTTTAGGTGATCTGGAAGTCTGGATTTGAGACTTGTTTACGTGTCTTCTCATTTCAAGGAGGTGTTGTGCTGCTGGCACCCGCACCGCTCACCTCTTCTGTGCTTTGCATGACTCTGCTCCTTGGATCTGGGGGCAGTGGTATGGCAGCCTGGACGGCTCCTCCTCAGTGCTAGGGGTAGCTCTGCTCCTCTGTGCTGGCGGCAGTGATACGGCAGCCCAGAAGGCTCACCTCCTCAGTGCTGGGGGCAGCTCTGCTCCTCTGTGCTGGAGGTCTCCAATGCATTTTCTTTTTTTTGTTGTTGTTGTTTTGTTTTGTTTTTGGTACCGGGTATTGAACTTGGGTCTTTGCGCTTGCGTAGCAGGTGGCGAAACCACTGAGCTAAATCCCCGGCCCTCCAATGCATTTTCTTAACAGCATATTCTTAGATCAATAAAAGGATCACAGAGATTGTCACATTCTCCCATAAAAGGCCATGAGGGGTCACAAAACCAAAGCAGGCCAGGTTCAGGGACTCACTACTTATTCCCGCACCACCAAGCAATAGAAACAGTGACAGGAACACCGAAACACACGTGCACACAGGGAACAGTTGGAACTATGACCAGGAAGTTGTTCTTGACTTCTTAGCTGTAATTTATTTTCAAAATTATTTTAAAACAGAGAAACAAGAGGCACATGGTAGATTAGTACTACTTGCCAGACAGGGAAAATTGTACAAAGATAAATATGGAGGAACAACGTAAAAACAATTCTGTTTATTTACAAGAAGATTTTCTTTTCTTTCTTTCAATAAAGTTGGATGATTTTCTAAAACATACTTACTTAATAATTTATTTACCTTGGAACAACATAATTGCATAAGTGCAGACTGAGAGAAATCAAGACTAGCAAAGAGCCATATTTCTATTGCAGACATATTTTCCTGCCCTTCCAAACCTATGTACAGAACAATACATTCTTCTTTGAATATTTTTAATTTTGCCAAGAGCTTTGTTTTCCATTTTTATTTATTGTGGATTTATAAGTTTTTTAAAGTATTCTGATTTTTTTAAACACACTCATTCTTTATTGTTCTTAATTCAATATGCTATTGATAACTTTGAATTTTAATCACTAAGGTCAAAGAATGAGAATCAAAAGATTAAAGAATGAGTATTATGTAGATAGTATAAATAGATAGATCAAGAGCATCCCAATTTTTCCGCCACTTTCTATCTTTGATGCAGAGGATTGTTTTGCAAAATAGAATTACATTAATTGGAATAGTTTGTCCAAATGAACCTGTATTGGCACATCATCTTTACAGTGATTTCATTTAAGCTCAAATATGGTAAGAAGTCAATTTTGTACTTCGCAAGTGTCATGTCTGCTTTACCTCAAAGTAGGGACTAGAGCTTACCCAACAGACTTCCATTTTTATCTCTTTCCAGAATCACACTGTGGAAGGCTCTATAGGTAGTCAGATTTTAGTTTATTTTCAGTTTTCTAAAGTATTTCCAAACTACTGCGTTAGGAATGGCATATAATTATGGAAAATACGTTTGAATGGTCAACTCCCTACTTTACTACTACTAACTGTTGTTATCATTGTTATTATTAAGTAGATCACTGTACAGAATTTTTTCATTTGCCAAACCTGGTGCAACTGCTAAGGTCTCCCAAAAGGATCGCAAAGATTTCCCTGAAAAAAATGTTCTCTTAGTAAATTATTCTGATATTATATGTCCCATATTTCCATTTCCTTATCAATTTTTTGGCATCCTTCTTTATAACAAAGCTCCAATACTTAATGATTAACATAAGCATCTACCTTTATCACTTAAAAGCATGTGGGCATTATTCTTATGAGATGAATTGTCTTAAATGACTCATATTAAATACAAATTCTACTAGTTAAAGTTCTAGATTACAATCACTTTCCCTCAGCTGATTAGATTAATTTTCCTACAGACTTAGTGGTGGCTGTTTCATTGCTATGGTTTGAGAACATGCTTTTGAGGAAGACTCCTGACATAATTCCATCTGCAGATTTATTGCTTTACAAGAGATCATCATTCTATCATATCAATACTTACATTGATTAAAAAGCTAGGACTTAGTAGCTTATTATGATAGCATTGACATAATGTTATTGGTCTTATGAACTAAAGTTGTTATGTCACACTTTTTATATGTGATTATTAGTTCACTATAAAATTAGTTTATAATTTTTTAAAGTTTAATAGCTCTATTTTAGCTTGCCCCAGGGATAATGTTAGAAGCCCTTTTGTG